CGGCGCCTCGCCGCCATCTCCTCAGGCGGGCTCTGAGGGGGCGCCCGCCTCGCCGCACTCCGCCCCGGGAGGCGCCCGGCCGCCCGCGCTCGCCTCCGGTCAGAGCTGTCCCGCAGCGAGGCTTGGCCTGCCTGCCAGGGCCGTGGGGGGCTGTTGGAGAGGAATCCAGCCCCCCTCGCCGTTACCGAGCTAGGAGGTGGTTGGCCTTAGCGTAGGAGGTCTCCAGCCAAAATCGCCCGCCTGTGGCAGGCGTTGGCTTTAGCTGCACCTCTGGAATTTGCCGCCTTTGGTAGCAATCATTGCGTCTTAGACCTACCAGGTGCCATAGGTTGGCAGCACGGCCAGGATCCAATGCTAGTGTCTGCGGGTGTAGTGATAATTAGGTTACTGATGTTGTAATTAGGTCTTGTTCTTTTAACCTCAAGATTGTTTTGGTGGCTAGCAGTGTTGTCGAGGGTCAAGCCTGCCACCTTTGCCTAGTAGCCTTTAGTTTTCTTGGGGAAGGTGAGGAGAGCTGCGGATGTGGTTACGGGACAGAAACCCGTCATCCATAAAAAGTGACGTGTTCGATAGCCATTGCTGTGATTCAAACATATTTTTGGTGGCTGCGTCTCCAAACAAGATACACTTAGTGGTGGAAGAGACTTCTGAGGTCCAAAAATTGTTAAGAGGCCTTTCTGATGAAACTGTTCCTTATCTCTACGTTTTACGTTCCTTCTATGAGACTCGTAATTACATCGGAAGTTGGTGCAGGTTTCATCCCTTGGGGATGGCTTCAAGGGGGAGGCTAAGGATTAAATTGCCATAAATGTGTCCACAGCTTCTGTGGAGGTTTCCTGGAAGTCGGGACGGAGGCGAGTGGACGCGGCAGTACAGACCAATGCCAGGAGCTGCCTGCCTAGGTGTGAGGGCTTCGCTTAAGTGAATACTTAAGGCTATATCTAACTTCATGTATGTAAACGATCCAAATACAATCAAAGCAACTACATAAATGCTTAAAATTGTGCATTTGCTTAAGTACATTTCTGGATCGGCGCCATCGGAGTTTCCTGCGCTGTCAAGCCAACTTATCATCACTGACTATGTTTCTCCCTAGCATAAATTCAGATGGTTTATATCTTTAATAATGAACTGAGTATTGCGATTATATCTTTAATAACTAACTTCTTATTGTGAATAATTTAGCAATGATGGAACATACAGCTTTTAACTGCACACAGTACCGACTGAATACTGAAGATAGTAAGGTTAAAATGGATAATGCTTGTTTTTTATTAATAGTTAACGTATTTAACAATAAGTATATATTTTATAGCTCTGTTAACATTTATATCTTCAGCATACTTTGAAATGTTGTTCTATTTATTTATCTTAAAACACGCTTATGAATTTGGTAAGTAGCGTGCTTCCCAAATGGACCCCCTTGCGGTGATACCTGTGTTGCTAGAGCGTGATTTATTATTCTGTGGTTCATTAAACAAGCACATTAATTTTCTTCTGATGGTCTTCATGAGTTACCAGTCATTCTTCCTGGTTTACACAATGCACCAGGCTACTTCACCTCATGCTGGAGGGAAGTGTTTTCATTTAACTGCCTGTCTGTCACCTATAAATCATATACATACGCAATACAAAGGGCCGCATTCTCTTCTGTGGTTATGCCACTGCTAATAATAACAAACATCATTGTTGCTAGTTATGCATTTGTATTCCTCATGGCGCTTCGCAGCCTCTGCCTTAGATGAAGTATTATTTAATTATTTAATACAATAATAGCAATTTTCACTTGCTTTTTCAAAAAATATAATCTGGAAGCAGAAGCTATGAATAAAAAGTGTTTTTTTCCTTAAATGAAGGGGAAAACAGCCAGCCGCACTGGCATGGCTAGCGATGGGAAAAAATTGAGTTTGTAAATGGAATTCAGATGTCGACAGCAGCAAGGATTTACCAACAAAGTTTTAGATTACTGACTGATGACTAATGATTGTGTTCACCGCTGAAAAAATTACCAACTGCTAATCCCAAACTCGATTTCTTCCTTCCTTGCAAATGCAACGTTTCTGACACCTAATGTAAAAAGCAAAGTTAAGAAAAGAAAAACCATAAAAATTCACCAGGGTGGTTTTGTCTTTGTCCAGTGTTATGTTCTGCATATACCAAATTCAAATGAAATTAATGACAGGGAGAACGCAGCTGTTTTGAATCGCATCACCGTTGGTGAGTTACTCTTCATTTTTGCCACGTCCAGCTGGGACGGAAGGAAAGCCCTCTATTTGGGGAGCGTGGTAGAATGAGAAATTTTTAGTTGCTATTGAAATGCCTAAATTCACGAGTCTGATATTCTCGCTCCAAAAAGAAAATTCCCATTTCTTTAGGTATATAAAATAATTGTGAAATATGTATGTTTTAAAACACAACACACAGGTGGACTTCTGTGTTTCATCTAGCATATACCAGCTGTAGGTGCATTTGGGTGACTCTAGGAGATCTGTTGAACTACAGGTGTTTGCACTGATGATCTGTGGCTGAAAGAAGCGGGAAACTAACAAATCTCGAAGAAGAAAGAAGGCAAATACCCGCGAAGGCATCAAAATGCGATTTTCCTCAGGGCTCATTCACCCGAGAAAAACAAGCCACGTTGAGATCAGCACGCACGAACCAATCTGAGCACGACGGTCAAGCAGGTCCAGCTGTGCATCTCAACTGGACGAACCCTAAAACGTTTTCCTAATCTCGTGTAGGTTTTAGTAAAAAATTTGACATAGGAAAACTCAATTGATAAATTACATGCTCCGAAGATAGTAAGTTGGAGTAGGGGATTTTGCTTTGCTGGTCGCCAGCGTTTTGGACGCTTGCCATGTAAGGTTTTTTGCCAGGGTCTAAGATTGGAACCACCTGCAGCAAAAAGTGAAAAAGTTTCAACACGCGGTTTTAGAATAACTGAAAAATCCTTGGAAGGATGTACTTCAGCTCTGAAAGTGGAACAAGATGTAGTAGACTTCTTCCAGTTCTTAAGTATATTCAAAAAACAGCGTGGGGCTGGCCAGAAAAACAAATGAAGATTTTGAGGGAGCAGAAATTTCCACTAGAATGTGTTTGAATGGAATAAGCTTTGAGAATGCCACTAATGATCTGAAAATGAAAGTATATATGTAACGTCTTTTTTTCCTGTGGCAGATTTGGCTGAGTCAGGTGTATCAAGGTAGGCAGACGCTTACGCAGCGAGGCGTGCTGGCTGCCCAAAATACCCAAGATTACTACAGTTAAGTGACGTTTTCCCTGATTTTTTCCAGTTTCTTTATTATATTCATTTGTCGCTTTAAGTACAGGACATTTCCCTGTTTCCTTTTGATTACAGAACTGTCTCTTCATTTCATTTATCCCACTGAATTGATACTGAGGTTCAGTTTATATTGTTTGTGATAAATGTAACGTTAACTGGTATTCTTTAGATCTGAATATTTAAAACATCCACATGTTCTACATTTTAACTGACATGCAAAGTTTTGAACTTTGTTTTTCATTTTTTCAAACAAACATTGAAGTAAATGTCTCTAGCTCTTCCTAAAATGCTTTTCCCAACCTGCTCATGAAGCAGAAATCAAATGTGTTGTTTTACCTCAAAAGACTGGATTTGGGGAATCCTCCATTAAATGTTTTTCCTTAATACTTTGCACAAATGGGTCACTGTGATGCCTGAGGATGCTTATTAATTGGTTCCATGCTCAATTTAATTCTCAAATACGTTGTAACTCATTTACAATTACAAGGTGTAACATAGAGCACGAATTTTCATTAGTTTATAGCTGTAAATTTCTCCCTTCTCTCCAAAACTACTAACTAAATGTGTAGGAAATGTCTTTCCCTGCCCACTGCTGTTTCTGTACAACCTAGTGGATAGTGTAAGGATAGGAATGGGTGACCGGGAGTTACTTAAGCTGTTTTAAACCACGTAGCTACCAAATGCGTAAGCCTCAGTCACCACTTGTGTCTTTGAAAAGATTGCTAAAAATCATTAAAACCCCCTTACATTTCTGTTTTTAGGGTAAAAATCTGCCGAGCTGTTTTAATATGTTGCAGAGAGGTAAGGAGTACATTTTGTTTGTTCTCTAAGTCTTTTTTTTTTTTTAACTTTTTTACTTAAATGAGCTATTACAGTATGAGGTCCTAGGGGACTTGATAAACTGTTGGAGGTATGCACTTGGAGTTATATTTGTAAAGATACTCCCCTTTGAAAACAAACAGCCCTCTGAACAAAGGATATCCTTATAGTTCATAACGAAGTTTTGGACCCGTTTGGCCAAGAACGTAGATCACAATTACAGGCTCTTCTTTGAATGCGTATTTGTGTAACAGGGGTAAATACTGAGGTAGATCAAACCTCAGAACATTTATTTTTAAAGGACACCAAGCATTAGAAGGGATACTAAAGCGCATTACGGTCCAGCTCCTCAGCTAATACAGGTCTCTCCTTTATTCTTGAGAGAGCCTAATTGAGCAACAAAGGTACAAATAAGGAGCAGGATTCCTTTCCTTAAAAAGCTGCTAAGACATGGCAATTTTTTACTGACAGCTAATAATACTAGTCCTGAAAGAATGACAATATTATCTACTAAATATGAGCTAATTACTTAGGCAAATAACCTACCACTGCAGAGGAAACCTACTCAAGGGAGGTCTTAATAAAAACAGAGTTAGAGGCCTCCAGCCTACAGGACTCTGGGATTTGGCCCAGGATCAAGATGTTTCTCTGCAGGAAGCTGTTGTGGCTATAAAAATGTCTGTCTTTTTAATCATTGGTTTTGTTTGTCTTGTCAAGTCCCAGCTGAGATTTCCCTTTGCAGTTTCTCTAAACATCTGGTTGTTGTCATTTCATTATTATCAACCTTGAAGTAAAAGATCGGGCTCTCCAAGATTATGCAATTTCTTTAAACATTACGAAATTATTAAAAATAATAAATGTGTGGGGTTTTGTACTTGTTTCAGCTTCAAGCCGTGGGCTCTCCATAAACATGAGGCTCAGCATATTGCCTCTTAAGAAGAAAAACTGTGATTCCTTCAGATAGCATGACTGCGGGATTTAACAGAAATCTCTATTGTAAGATTTGTGATAGAATTTGAAAGTTGTCAAGAGCATCATTTATTATTACATGTGTAGATAGTTAACTCTGGTTGCCAATGGAAATTCTGTATAGATGTAGTATTTTATATAACAATTAAAGAACAATAATGTGGTTTGCAAATATCAATGAAGTTCAAAGAAGGCTGTCAACATTTGTGTTGCAGGTGATCACTCTGCCAACTTGGTATCAATTAATGCGTCCAGACCTGCTTCCATGCTGTTTTAAGACAAATTCACACTAATGCTTTTCAGCCTGCCTCTGAATCCACATAAGATTGGGAACAAATATCCAGATAAATAAACTGAGAAGGAATTCTGAAAACTTTAAAATGCATTAGACGTTTCTAGCTTCCAGGCTAATTCTGATAACGATGGTATTATTTCAGGAGAAACACCCCTCCGCTTCCAAATGTCTCCATTTTTTTGTAATCCCTTCTCTTCCATAATCCCATAATCCATAATACTTGATACTCCTACTTTGCTATTGTTTGTAGGTTTAATGTGCCTGTTCTCTGTTTCACATGTGATACGGTGCTGAAATTACTTGTTAATATGGATCCATAGTAGACTTCTACAGGGCGACAGTGGAAATGTCCTTCCGATTTGTCAGTGAATCATTACATAGCTATTTTTTTGATTTTATAGTTTTGTAGATATTTTTACACCAAACTTACAGTTGTTTTAGATAAGCTATGTGTTTAGTTAGGAGAAAGCTGTGAGGCACAACGTCAAACTTCTCACTCTAACCAAGATACATGTTCTCTTCTACTTCTCCCCTTTTGATCGAAGTCTTCTCTTATCATAGAAAGAAACTGGTGTGCTGTGATTTGTTCTTGATAATTAGGCTAGTTCTCTCCAAGTTATTCTAAGGTTCTAACAATTTGTTGAACAATTTTCCAGGGAGTGAAGACGAATGGTGTGTATTTCCCGGTTTCTTCTTTTGAAGGTAGGCTGCGATTGATTCTTTTTTGTCTTCTGCAACCTAATTTATCCTCTGTTAATTCTCAAAAATAAGTTCTAGTGTCTCCATTGACTCCAAAGTTGTTGTGGATGAGTCGCTTAAACTACAGATTGGGCCGGTAACTGGGTAGTTTTCATTTTTGGGTGCTCAGCATAAAACATCTGCAGCCAAATTTGCAGAAGGGACGAGTGAGCTGCATATGTTGTTATAAATAAGCTAAATGCTTATGCTTTTTTTAAAGTGGGTATTGAAATTTAGTAATTGGCTTTGGTCAATGGAGCTATGATTCTCCTCTCAAGTTAGCAATTGTCAAATAAACTAAATGATGCCACCTAACGCAGTGGGTATTGCGCAGCTAAATTTAATAGTATTTATAGAATACTCGTATGGCAAGGTTCATATACAGCAATTTAAAAAAATTGCATTTTGTGTTTGGTTGGAATGTGTTGGGTTTTTTTTTTAATAACCTTGGGGTTATGCACTAAATATTAATGGTTAAAATGTATTAACTAGTCATGAATTGAATTAGGTGTGTATCTTATGAAAAAATAATGGTGAGTTATTTCACAGTACAGGATTTACAATGCACATTTAAAAGGCAACTGAATTTAATTTATATCAGCATAAAAGGGGATTGAATTTAATTTATATTGACACCCTTAACTGTAGCTTTTATTAATGAATGCTTGACTTTGCAAACACAATGGCCTCTTAATATTTTTTCCTGATCTTAATTCTTCACTGGGTCTTATTCTGCCCTCATCTTTGTGGTGTCTGAAGGTTTTCCCAGCTGTCCGTTGGGTGATCTGACTCTTGCTTGTCATGTGTGGGTTATTTTCTTTCCCATCCTCTTTAGAGGTGAATGAATCTGTCTCCAGTGGATTGCTCTGTTTTGCCGGGCTTTTTGTTTTGGGGTTTTGTTTTTAGGTTGCATTTGTTTGGATTTCTTTTCTTTTTTCCTTTGCTTTAATACTTTCTGCACAATCAAGAAAGAAATAACATTGCTCATCTAAATGCAATAGTCTTTACTCAAGCAACATTCTCTATGACGTTTCTGCCTGAGGTTTGCAAGATTTTGCCTGTTTTGTAAAGATTCATTAAAATTGACACAATGTTTTCATAAACATTAAAAGGATAAAACCTTGGTCTTAAACTGTCTACCAAGCCAAACGCACAACAGAGAATTCTTAGTTGCTGTACTCCTTGACAACGACATTTAGGTTTTTGTTCTCGTATTCTTGTTTTGGAGAGAGGACTGAGATGTTTGGAGAGGGAGGAGAGATGCTTTTTGTATTAGTTATATGATGAGAATGAAAATATGAGTGCAATGTAAAGGTCCTGATCCTAGTCCTGAAGGGGTTTTGCACTTTGTGTGATTGCAGGATGAATTATACAAACAAAACACACAACTTTTGGTTGTTTAATTCTGTAAACACGTTACTGAGTTCAAAAAGTTGTCAGTAGTAAGGTAGACAGAAAGGCTGACAGACGGCCAGCTTGAAACTTGTCCAGGGCAGAGAAGGAAAGAAATCGTTTCTAACTCGGACTGTAGCTATTTCATGTCATTTTATATGAACTTTCTGATATATGCCCAATCCAGTTTATAGTGGTTAATAATTATAATTCATTCTTTTTACGGTGCTTTTATGCAAGGACTCTCAATAAAAGACGAGGGACCCAATAGTGCACATACTATGCATATATAATATACAGGTCATCAGTTAAACTAGAGAGCTTGCAGTTTATTTTTCCATTCTACTTGTAATCGAAAGAATTGGCGTAATTGTTGATAGATCCAGTGTAGAACCTAAAGATTGAAAATAAAGAATTTTCACATTATATCCACCTTGGAAGAATCTGAATCAAACATCTGAAAAACAGCACGTCAAAATATGAGGACATGCACCATGCTGCATCAGCTGAGAATGAACTATACAAAATCTCAGAAAGAAGAATAAAAGTAAGAGCATTTGAAATCCTGGCCTTAATACCTGGACTCATTCCATATTCCTCGTGAAATGTAATGAAAATGTAATGAAAAGTCGGGATGGGACAGGTGTTGTGTAGTCCCGTGTTCCCAGGCTTGCTTTGAGAAGAAAACAGAATTCTCTGTCCCGTGCAGCACTTAATGAATGGCACGCAGAACGGAGGAGCGAGGCTTTGGGGGAATCTTGGGCATGTGAAACAATGGACTAGATAAACCATCTCATCAGATTGTTTCATCTCAAGCATAATTTGGAGTTTGGGCGCCATTAAAAGGTATGGGCCAGAAACAAGTGTGTTTGGCCCTACCTAGACATGTTTTTGGTGCTGCTATAAATGTAATGATATATTATAACCGTCTCTCAAGACAAGGCATGTCGATGTGTTGATAAAAACTATTCTACTTTGATAAATTATGTTTGTGAATCTCGATGAAGACACTTCAATGAGATTAATTTCTAGATGCAGGATGCAAAACTCGGACCTGCGCTTGCCAGAAGTGTAGCAGGAGTCTGAGCTGCAACGTGGGGGATGACGGTGGTAAGAGCTGTATAGAAACTGGAGAAAGGTGGTGCGGTGTAGGTTAGCCTGTGAAGGACTAGATGAAAGTATTTGTGGCTGCTCGTGTGGGTTTGTTTTTAACACAGTCCCGTTTCACTCAATGGGTTTTATCTCTCGAGCTGTTTGTTACATTTTCACCAGGCTGTTCCTGACCGCACCCATTGGCACGCACTTGGTTTAATCTTGAGTGCCTTTTCTGCAACTTTCCTGCTTCAGGCTGCCCCCGAGGCTGTTCCAAAGCCCCCGGCTGTGTACGAACTCATCTTGGCCTTTCTCTGGTTTTGTGTTTGTGATAGACGCACCCTGAGCTGTGCGGCGGATCCCACTGCCTCCACAGCGGCATGAGATGTGAGCCAAGAGCACTAATGATTTAATATAATGTGGTTTTCATCCTGAGCAATAACGCGTTCCCTATTGGTTCAGATAATTTAAACAGAAGTAAACTATTGCCTGATCAGTTTGCATGTTTTAGTGTTGTTTGTATGATGTGCTTCCGCTGCTCTCCTGCAGCGTTGCTCCTTGCACGGGACTTCAGTGGATGTGTGGAGCTGGCCTGACTGTCCTCGAGCTGACCTCGAGAGCTAAAATTCCTGGCGATTTTGATGGAAGCAGAAGTAGGTCATTGCTGAGAATGACTAAATTCCCACCCACTCCACCTAAAATCCAGGTCGTAGATCTTGTAATTGAAGTGATGTTTGTGAACTCCTGTTCATCCTTGGAGTCCCTGTAGCGTCAGTGGGGTTCTTCAGGAGCACACTGGTCTGAAGAGGCAGGCCTGATTCCTCGAGGTGGATCTTCAGTTAGCGTTTCATGGTGCCTCCTGAGGACATAGTCTCTCAAGTTTATGAAATAAATTACTCACATTTTTAATAGCTGCTTAAAAAAACACTGAATCAAGCTTATGTGTAGTAAAGTAGTGTTTTAAAATGAAAAGTTAAGAAGGGAAGGAACTGTTGGACAGACAAGGCTGTATCTGAGGAGGAAAAGACCCGAAGGAGTGATAGATATGCAAGGAACTCTTAATGAAAGTTGAACAGTCCAACAGACACTAAGGATTTGTGGGCAAAAATAATAAAAATACCTTTTTTTTCCCCGAAATTATCTTTCTTTGAATCAGTTAGCAGAAGAAAGCCCGTCAAATGAGAGAGACATGGCTGGGATGGCCCATCACACAGTTCAAATACCTAACTACAGCTGTGGAGTATTGAAAACAAAATTTAGAAAAAAGCATTTTTGAGCAATAATTTGTTTGCACAAACTATTTAGCTAGCAGTCTGAAGCGGTAAACAAGTTAACAGACAGCATTTGTCTAATTCGTGATCAGGAAAAAAAGGCTCAGTTCACTAAATAAATCTAAATAAATGGTTAGTTATAGGTTGTTTATCATCTCTCCCTGACACTCTCTTGGCTTAATGGAGGGAATTGCTTAAATAGTTCTAGTGTTTCAGCACCATTTAGTTTTTCTGCTGTTACTGGTGGCTTATGTAAAAGGCAGAGAAGAAGTGGGACAGGGCTGTAAAATGCAGTATCCTTTCTTGAGAATGTTTTGGAAATGACAGAGGTAATGTTGCCTAGGAAAAAGTACTGTCCTTTAAAAAATCAATGGGAAATAATAGACTAATTCTTATTAGGGACAGTTCAGCAGAATCCCCAGATGGAATAAAGAGTGAAATCCAGATTTTCCAATGCTCCGGGGAAGCTGTCAATCTTGAAAGAATCTTCTTTAAGAAGTAATTCTGTGAAGTTTTCAGCAGGCAAGTTGTCTTTTTGTAGCTGCCTTGTTTAAGGGATTGAAGGGCCATGAAATGTTAAAAACATTGCTGCCTGCCAAACCAGACACAGTTGAGAGCTGTGATCCGGTCTGGCTTGCACTGACTCCTGGAGAACATGAAACATTGCCCAAAATCAAGAGTTTTAAAGCACAACTGTTTCCCCCTTTGCTCTTAGAAAGCATGCAGGCTCTCTCTGCGTGAGGGTGGTTACTTGGGTACAAAATACCCACATGAGCGTATCTGGAATACAAACAGGAGCAGGTGGAAAGTGCAGCAGCGTCAGAGCCGGGTGCAGCAGAGGACGTGGGCTCAAGCAGAGCTTTGAAAGCTTCCCTGGCTCTTTCCTGGCAAGCAGAAGCTGAATTTCTGTCCCCGTCCTCCCGCACTCCCAGCTGCACTGGATCCTCCCCTTGGCAGTTTCTCTCCCTAGTCCTGCCCGCCCCTTCACTCTTGTATATATGACCCTCTCCGAACAGCTTTTGCTTCACAAGAATCCAGTCCAGGCAGCTGTGCTTCCTCTTGCACGCACCCAGCGGCCCTGGGTGTCTGATCCGACATGGGTAAGAGATCCAGCCTGTGGATCCAGCCGGGATCTGCTGCTTTTGGCTACAATTCTGCACTGTGAAACTTGTAAGCAGGGGCCAGGGGGTTCGTTAGCATGGTGGACTGGTAAGGAGAGACGCGGGGCTGGAGCTCAGCATTTCCTCCGACTATTAAAAGGTTTACTTCTTTAAGCTATGGACCCCCCCCATGGTTTTAAATAAGTAGCCTTAATGCTATCAGTAAATGCCTTTTATGCTACCATTAAATGTCTCTTTTAGTACCTCAGCATTTAGAAACTGAAATAAGCATTTGGACTTGCTACTCTGGTTGACTGTGAACGTGAATGACTCATAGGAAGATTGTTGGGAAACTGAGGACCAGAATTTAACTTTTTCCTTCTATTTTTGTGATAGACGATATAAGTTTTATGGACTTTCATGTTTGGATACATGGACAGGAAAATGGAGAGAGGGGACTAAAATAGATGGAAGTTTTTTTGCATGTGAATATATTATTGTATAATTTGCAAGGGGGACACTTACATTGTGATTTCACAAAATGGGGTAAGATTGTAGATCTTAGTTAAAAAAAAGCCCTTACTACACAAACGAAAACAATGATTCTGACTCAGCAGAAGTGTCTCCTCTGGTTTATCTGCCTAGGGTGAATGTTTACCTTTTTGTGCTTTTGTAAGTACTAGTAGTGCAATTACATTTGTTTTGCTTTGCTTTCTAACAAACTGTAAGTTTCAGTTGGTAACCTGTGATAATGACAGTTTTGTCAAAATGGTTGCGGCAGTCTGTAAGAAGTCGCTAGGCAGTGTATAAAGAGTCAGTTAAATACTGCACCTTAAAGCTTAAAGTAGCATGATGGTGATAGATTGGTCACAAGGTTTGGAAAAGTATGCTCTTGGCAGCGTAGAAGATCAAGTCTTGGACTGCTCTTCAAAAATTTAACAGATCATTAAAGTCTGCGTGCATAATTTGTTACTTGGAAAAAGACTTGTCTACCAGAAAGAATGTGCTGCTTTTGTCTCTGTTGTTCTGTAAAGCCTGTGTCTTGTTGTGTATATAGCACAGCTGATACACTGATTTATTTTTTCCCATTTGTGTGTTCATTTCAGCAGTTTAGCACAATCATACCATAAACCAGATTTGCCTACCTTCATTTTTTAATATGTCAGTGTTTAACCCATGCATACACCTTAACTTCAGAGGACTCTCTATTTACTCAGGCTCTGCAAAAGGGCCAGTTTGGCCCAGATTTATTCCACCTAACTTTAAGCTCTCAACAGAGGTGCCTAATTTATTGCCACATTTGTCCTAAACTCCCTCTATAGAGTAAAGAGTCTTGGGCACCTTCACAGGTTGTCTTAAGTGAGCTGAAGAACTCTGCTGCCATAAAACAGTGCATATGAAAAGACAAAGTCTTTCCTGCTCCTTTCCTTTATTTCACGCTGTTAAACCCAAACTATCAAAGAATACCTCTTTCTTGTGTTAATAGTTACCAAATGTATTATGAAATTGCGCTTTATCAGGTGGGATATTTGTTTACAATGCTATTACCCATTGTTGTAAATCTGTAAACCTCATTAACCAGACTACTAGTGACTCCAGGTTAATCTGAGTATAGTTTGCTCATGCTGCAGCTTCTTCAGAGGCTTTGCATATCACATCAAAACTTGTAACACACTGATTAGGTAAGTATAAATGGATTGGCCTTTTATTTTTTTTAAAAATAGCTACTTTCAGAAGTTTTTCATAAAACAATCTCCTAAATCTTGCTTTTATAATGTTTTGTGGTATTTGTTGTCCTTTGGGATGATCTGTATTTCCCGTTATTTCTTTGCCCTGAGGAGCTCAGCACCTCTGAAGACTTTACAGCCCTTGAAAAGGCGGAGAGGAAGCGCTTGTATTCAGAGATGCAGAGCAACACGGTGACTTGGCTCACCCAGTAACAGGGACAAACGAACCCAGAGGTGCCTGGACCGTTCCTCTACGCTGTGACTACTGGACTGACAGATCCAGTCGTCACTCTTTGACCTTGCACAGTATGCGATTTTACTTGGCACTGTGGTACGACTTGGTGCCCCCAAAAATGAGGGAAATGAAAAGTTTTTATTCTTCACTGCCACCCAAAAGAGTGCGGTGTCTTTTCCACCGTCAGAGAAGCACTTCTAACATTTATGACATTGAGAACTGCCTCCTTTTTGTCTAAAACTTACTGAGTGGATGAAAAGCTGCAGGGAGTCCCTCATTATGCTTTATGTGGGAAATTACAGCTTACATATTTTCAGCTGTTGTAAGCGTAGCAAAATATCCCCCAACCTTGCTGTTGATTTGTATGGAGTTTTCCAGAGTGGCCTGTGGATCATTGTTGGTGGCTCACGAAGGATTGGACAGTTGCCTTTGGTTTACTGTCCCTCCTGTTCTCCAAAAAGCGGAACAGAACAGATGGAAAGACATGAAAAAATACAAAGCAAAAGGAAACTAGACTGGACTCCCCAGTTCCCTTTGCTCTCCACAGGAGAGAATTGCTGTAGACAACGGTAACAAAGGGAACTGTGAGATTTTTATCAGCTTTATATACAAATAACTGCATAGGAGTAAGGAGGAATTTGGCTTATTGTAACTTCATTTGTGAAAAAAGGAAAATTGTACAATGAAGCAGTTAAAGCTAAATGCGTATGTTCTTCCTGTTAAATTCACGTGTGAGCCATTGGCGGTAGAGAAACGTTCTTTGATTTAGAGAGGCAAGGAAGGTGGACTTTGTGGATGGAAAGCTACTGTGAGAGAATTTGCCTGTAAAGGTGTAACATACATTGCAGCAAGAAAATCTCAATGCTTTTGTCCTCTCTGGAGGTTGCAAACCACACGTATGTGATATAGCGTCCCACTTCCTGGTATTCAAAACACTTGGTCAGCTGCCAGGTTAATGGAGGATCTGGAACGCAACAAGTAATATTAATGTGTTTAACCATGGATTATTAACATAGCAATGTAAATATTATTGTTAACGAGTTGCTACAAGATGGTGCAAATCACAGTTTCATGACAAAAACCTTATTTTGTATTCACAAATGAGCTTGGCATCGTGTAACACGGAAGGGCTTGCATCATCCACGGATATCTTCAGGCAGTTAGATACAATGGTTCAGAATAAAAGAGTGTTTGAACAAGATCAGAGGGAAAGGAGAGAAAAATGTGCATGAGAAGAAGGAAGGGAAAACGTTCATCATCTTGCTGTATGTTTTCTCTGGAAAACAATTTGGCACAAATAATCTTTTTCTCAAAGTAATCTGCAGAAAACCGCATTTGCAATGCTAATTAAGCTGTGGTCTAATGCATACTGAGTTCCTGCTAATTTAGGTGATTGAGAAAATTGGAATAAAGTTTAAATTACAGCTTAGACATAAATGGAACAAAGCAAACTTTATATTTTGTGTTTCCAGATAAAAATATTTCACAAAGACTGTGAAATTAAATCTAAAGTACTAAATCACTCTTTTTGAGAAGATCCAGTTTTTAAAGTTATGAGCCTCCACGTGCAGTGAGCAAATTGCTTGAAGCATTTTGCCTTCCAAAGAAGGCTCCATACTTAAATGGGCACTGGAGCTGTCGCTACCTCTGGATTTGAAATCTTAGATCTATGGCATTCTGAAAAAAACTGTTGCTATCAACTTCTCTTTTTAAATATCAGAGAATGGCAAATAATTAGCTGGTTTGCTTATTTTTATTACGGATACTTGAGGTAACGGAGGGAGGCAACTATACTATGTTTTTGCTTCTGTCAACATGCATTTCACTTCATGCCATATTGAAAAAATACGTTGGCATCCTGCTGCACAGCACTTCTATATTTTTGTGTTTTAAACAGCTGATTATATGCTAGTTCCGTTTAGGAATAGAGCAGAAGCTTCCTGCATTGTGTTCAGCAGGCCTGCAGCTCCGTGACTAGAAGAGATTTGTGTGCGTCAGTTAAGCCTATAAACCTGCAACTTGTTGTAACTGCCCCTTGAAGCAATATTTCGGGGTAATATTTTCTTAGTTCTAGCCAACAATTTATTGATGCAAATCTGAGCGTATATGTTCTGTTGACTGTGTTAGAGTAGAAATCGCTGTGTACGAAACTGTTTTAATATAGTTTTTACTTAGATGTTGATTGAGATCCAAACTGATACAAAGGGAGGTAAGAAACTTTTTAGAAGCAAGCTGAAACGCTTACGAAGTATTACGTGTTAGTAGTGAGCAGTGCTTTATGCTTACTGAGGCTCAAGCTCTTAACTCTGGAAAATCCTAATATAGCAGTCCTATCTTTTTGGAAGTGAACACATCACTTTCCAGATAGAGAAGCTGTAGATAACAATTGCTGCAGTTCCCATTCTCCGTTGAAATGTTGAGGGTTTGTGCATAGAGACACCCAGATGCATGGGCTGGTTTTGACTCTCGGCGCAGAAGAGCATTGCTTCTCAGTCTTCTGCCCCTATAAAATGACATGTTCCTCCTAACGCAGAGCCCAGCCTTGAACCAGACATGCTCCTTCTGCTTTTGTGGGGTTCTCTTTTCCGGAGGACATTTAGATTCCCTTTCTAGCTTCGTAAAACTACAGTTTCCCCACTAAGTTGTCTGATTTGTGATGTAGTTGCTGTGCTGGAAGTGGTGAATGAGGAATGCCGGTTCAAGGACGGTTTCTGGCAGCTCTAATGGTGGCGTGAGAGCAGAGGTGGGGAGCTGAGTTTTTAATAGAAGGTGCCATGGTTGATAATTCCCCTTCCTCCTGGTCTTACTGGTCACCTGCAGTATTGCCTCTTACCCAGGCTGTAAATCCTTAAAAATAACCACTTCTTCAGCATTTATATGCAGAGAAAGACTGGAGGCTTTCCAGTAATAATAAAATGGGTTGTTCAAATTGGGCAATCTGTCTACTTACTCATCTGGCAGTGATTCAGCAGCTCTCTGTAAAACATTTAACACAATTTTCTTAAATCCCAGACCCTTGTCATATATGAATGTGCTTTAAAATTGTGAGGCTGAACTCCTTGAAATGAAGCCCCAAATTTCCCATTATTTTTGAGTGTGGAGTGTCATATTGTGTATATTTTCAGAAACTCAAGTAACCTCAGCACTGACTGGAGTCAGCGAGACTTACAGGTGTTTGGCAATGTAGAAATTGGATCTAAGATTTGTCAATCTCTGAATGCAAAGCCAATGCCCTCTTAGAGATATGCTTTAAAATAATTGGAGACCCAGACCCTTGTCATATATGAATGTGCTTTAAAATTGTGAGGCTGAACTCCTTGAAATGAAGCCCCAAATTTCCCATTATTTTTGAGTGTGGAGTGTCATATTGTGTATATTTTCAGAAACTCAAGTAACCTCAGCACTGACTGGAGTCAGCGAGACTTACAGGTGTTTGGCAATGTAGAAATTGGATCTAAGATTTGTCAATCTCTGAATGCAAAGCCAATGCCCTCTTAGAGATATGCTTTAAAATAATTTGGAGATTAAAAGAACTTCTTTTTTTTTTTCTTCAATCAGCAAAATGCGGAGCATGTGGTCCAGGATATGCAACTCCTTTGGATGCCATGAAAGGCAAGTACTGTAACAACTTTTCTAAATCCAGGCCTTCAGTAAAGGAATTGTTTCCAAATTAGGTGAAGACTAGGTAGATGCCTTCCAGAGTGGCTTGTTAATTAGCAAGGCCAAGGAGACTTTAAATATCAGAAGAGATTTTACTTCATTTTGCACCCAACTCTGGGCAAAGCATGCAAGCTCTGTTACCATAAGTTCACGAAATCATAGCACTAAAACAAAGTGGGTCTGGGTTTAGATGTATGCGTGGCTATAGGATGCTAACACTCGGCAAACTGTTCTGTTTTTCTATGCTGCAAAATAGAGCTTTGCTTTAAGAATATTGGGGACAAGTCTTTAATCTAAAAAAAAAAAAAAAAGTTTCATTGTGTTTTTGGATGGAGACCTTTATAGACTGCCCTCAGACTCTCTCATAAAAACAAGTGACTGTCTAGGACAGAAGAAGGAGAAAATAGGAGAAAGGACTGTAGGGTATACTGTGTGAAGCTTCCCATCCACTTGTAGCTGTACAAAAGTTATGTTCTGTTCTTCCCAGCAGTGTCTGGCTAAATCCTGAACCTCGCTAAAGCCCTTGAGGACTTTTGCTGTAGCTTTTAATAGTGTCAGAACTTCCCCGTGAGTCCTTCGATACATTTTAAAAGCCTCAATTTTATAGATTGTAATAAGTAGGCTTTTGGCATAGGTAGACTGAAATCTGGGCCCTGGCAGCAGGGAGTCAATCACTTGTGTAACTGGGGAAAGGAGAGGCTTGGCACGGCCTTGCAGGTGGGAAGGTGGTCTCCAGTACTGTCCTTTTTCAGGAAAATAATTGCATCCCCAGGGCCTCTTACATTAGGAGGGCGAGGGAGTGGAAAGGCCCCACAGCTGAATAAGCATTTTCTCCTGGCAATTTCTGGCTGCTCAAACTATGTACTACTAGTGTTTCTCCATAAAATGGAAATACTGAGGTTCAGCTTCCTAGGAAGAATCACAATTTACAGACAGAGAGATTAAATCCAGAGAAGAGTCTATTAAAGTTAACCACAGCTTTTTGTAAAAACAGTTTCTTTTGATGTATTAAACAAGACTTCTGCCTTGAAAGGTCCCCGGGAGGAGATTGTGTACCTGCCTTGTATCTACAGAAACACTGGGATAGAGAAACCTGACTACCTGGCCACTGTGGATGTTGACCCCAAATCTCCGCACTATTGCCAGGTACCTGTGTGTAGAATGGCTCCGGTGCTCCGTTTTCTAGGGTGGCGAATATTTGGGTTCGCATAATCATTTTCAAGTAGATATTTGTGTTGAGAACCAATCAAATCCTCTGCTGTTTTTCTTACTAGGTTACTGAAAGCTAACATTTATCTTGTTAGTCTCAAGACACTTTCAGAGCATTTTTTTACTTAGTATTTTAATAGTTCTTTTTGTAACACCATTACTGATTTATACTGAGCATGAGTATTAAGCTCTAGAAGGTGATATTTCCTCGGGATGTGTCAGTAGTGTAGACAGCGTTTATAATGTAGGATGTCTGATACCCTGGGAAATTCTGCACATTAGGCATTATAAATCTAATCCATTTACTTCATAAATGGAAAGCTGTGGGTAGTGTCGTGGTTTTAACCTCAGCCAGCAACTGAGCACCACACAGCTGCTCGCTCACTCCCCCCCGCCCTGGAAGAGTAAAAGTGAGAAAACTTGTGGGTTGAGATAAGAACAGTTTAATAATTGAAATAAAATAAAGTAAAATAGCAATTGCTCACCACCCGCCAACCGATGCCCAGCCAGTTCCCGAGCAGCGGTCGCCGGCCCCCGGCCAACTCCCCCCAATTTCTATACTGAGCATGATGTCGTATGGTATGGAATAGCCCTTTGGCCAGTTTGGGTCAGCTGTCCTGGCTGTGCCCCCTCCCAGCTTCTTGTGCCCCTCCAGCCTCCTCACTGGCAAAGCACGGGAAGCTGAAAAGTCCTTGACTTAGTATAAACACTGCTTAGCAACAACTGAAAAATCAGCGTGTTGTCAACATTATTCTCATGCTAAATCCAAAACACAGCACTGTACCAGCTACTAGGAGGAAAATTAGCTATCCCAGCCGAAACCAGGACAGTAGGTAGCTACCAATAAACCACATCCAAAATACTGGTAAGACTGTCCTTAAGCTGCTCAGTTTGTTACTGCAGATAGTGTACACTGAACTGCATTTAAACATGCAGTGCTTGTATGACTCAAATTACTGAAGGTACTTTGGACTCTGATCTCCATGTGTTTAAGGAGTGGCGAATCTGATTTGACAATATTTTCATAATTTGTTCTTTTTTTTAGAGCTACTGCTTAGGGTTTTATTGCGGAGGAGTGGAGGAAACAAATCTCCTAAAACTTTGACAAAACTTAGCTGTAATCTTTCAACTTTTCTTAGTTATATTTTTTACTTTTTCCGCTTTTCTTAGCGGAAAAGTAAAAATCAGAAGCAAGAGTGCAAATTAACATGTCAGTTTGCTACAGTCAGACCCAGTTGTAATCAGGTAAATCTTGTAAAGTCAGAGACTTGCAGCACATGGACAAGTGATGTTTTTTTCTGTTGTTTTTTTCCATATCATTATTGCATGTCTCCTTAATTAAATAGAGTCTTTTAAAGATTTGGATTAATTTAATAGCATACAACTTTTAACAAACGCTGTGCAATCATGATGTCCAACTTTCTTCTCCCACTTTACAGCTTCAGCTCTGCATATCTCAGGCTGAATCTGCTTCCTGAATAACAAATAGCAGTTTCCTTCTGCTCTTTATTAATTTATGCTTTGACATAAAGACCCATTTCTTTGCCTAGGGGAAAAACTATACCAGACTGAATCTTAAATCTGTCTCTGACTTTGTAGGTGATCCATCGCCTGCCCATGCCGAATCTTAAGGATGAGCTCCATCATTCAGGGTGGAATGCCTGTAGCAGCTGCTTTGGGGATGCCACAAAGAGAAGAAATCGTCTGATTCTACCTAGCCTGATCTCTTCTCGCATTTATGTGGTGGATGTGGGAACAGACTTGCGAGCTCCTAGGATCCATAAGGTATATTTAGATGACTTTAAGCTGGGGTTTTTTTTTCTTATATTTTGACCAAGAGACAGTGATTTTATGGATTCCAACTTCAAATTAGAATAGGGGAGTCAGAACAGTTACGGAAGCTTTTGTCAAATATTAGGAACTTGTGGGAGTTTTGAAACTCCTACAATTTATTGATAAACTACACACAAAAATCTTGCACTAAAGAAATACGAGTAAATGTGGTGTCAAACACTCAAAAATTAGGAAGTTCCAGAATTCAACCTGCCTCTGCAATATGAATTTCAGTCAAAGTAGTTGCACACTGTATTACTGTTTTTGACTGCAAGATCACGAGGCAAACTCCTACCTGACACATTCAGCCGAGCATATGTAGATTGTATGTTTTTCAGAGATGAGTTCAAATTTGATTGGATTTTCAGTGAGCAAAACCAGATCTCTTCTGTAAAGGACACCTCCTCCTTGATTTGTAATCCTTGGTTCCTAAACATGTGATATGTAGATTTTTTTAAAAGAAAAAATTAAGAAAATGTTTTAATATGGGGAAATGAACTTTTTTTGAAATCTCTTGTTCATGGAAACAATCGAAATTTTCCCAAAATAAAACTTCCACTGCAATAGAATTCATTTGGCAGAGATACAGATATTGGCATAGATACAGGTTCGGATATAGACTTATACTTTTCCATGTCTAACTGTTTAGATTCTCTTTACAGTCAGTGAAAGAGAAATAGGCATTGCTGGAGTCAGATTTGTCTAACCTAGTTTAGAAAACTGTTTTAAGGTAAAGGAATTGTGTCTTAAGAGTGTTTGTTTCTTTTCAGTGACGATAAAGTAAGCATAGAGGATTAGCTTAGATACAAATATATATGCTGTCAGCGTCTATACTTGGTCAGATGAATCCTACAGCAACGTGTGAAACTTCAGTACAAAGTTCCAGGTTTGGCAGAGGCAAATTTAGTGATCAAAAACATATTTTGAAGATGGGTCATAATGTGGAACGTAAGGAAACTTTTAAGTGGTCTTTTGTCCCACCCCACCTGCCTGCAAAGACTCTCATTCATAGTCTTTCAGTTTTGAGTTCTTTAGAACCTTGCCAGCCTTTAACTATTAATGCAGTGGAAAAACCCCCAAAGGTCTCTTCTTGTACAGTGAATTTTATTTCAAACTGAGTCTCTGGCAAGCCTCAAAGATTTCTTTTTTTTCCCCTCTGAACTGCTACTACTCCAGTGAGAGCTGATGGCTGAATGCACACAAGTGGTGTTTCTGCCACTGATACTAATTAAAACAAACGCAGATGTCAGTGTCTCACTGATGCAGGAATTGGACTGATTCTAACCATGCAACTCTTGCTGTTTATATTTTTGAGAAGAACAAATAAATGTCGTGGATGGTACTGTATTACTGGGCAGAGTGGAAAGCGGGAGGTGGCAGGTACTCAAAAAACAAAGTAGCAAAGAAAACAATCCCCTTCACACATAGCCATTCCCACTCCTTCCTCTCTCTCTGAAACTTGAACTCTTAGAGGTGGAGCGGGTATTCTGTAGTGATCTTGGCGAAGGTGACTGACTGTGTATACTCATTTTAGATTGTTGAGCCAGTGGAGTTGTTCTGGAAGGGTAACGTGGCTAATCCTCACACCTCTCACTGTCTGGGCAGTGGTGAAATCTTAATCAGCTGTTTGGGAGACCCTTCTGGCAACGGAAAAGGTATTAATCCCCTTCATTACTCTAGAAAAGTATACGCGGTATAGAAGTATCACACCCCCAAAGTACAGGCTGCAAAGCCAGATGCATTGTTAAGAGCTTGCAGTTCTTTTGTGCACATAACCATTCCAGCGGTTGTTTATGTAACTGTAGAATAAATACTTCAGTTACCAGGTGAGCTGTATGGACATTGTTCTGCCACAACAATTCAGACCTGATGTGGAGGAACCTCTGTGGGACTGTTGATGAGTTCCGCTTCCATGTCTCTCTCTCTCTCTTTCAAATACATTACTAAAGAAGACCAACTCTAGTGGTTATAATGCGAGCAAGAAACCCATTAACATTCCACTTGGGCCCCTTCAGCATAGAGCAAGGAAGAATTGCTTTTGAACATAATCTGTATCAGCTCAGTATTTGTGACTGGGACTTGAAAGATTCTGTTGCCAACCTAAATCGTCTTTGTCTCATTGTCTAATGAAAGTTAAGCCTTTCAAGCTATTCTAGATTGCATTTCCCATTTAAAAATTTTGAAGGATTCTTGCGTATAAATTTTGTTACCTAGTCAGATGTAAACTACCTGACATCTAAAGGGAAATACTAGCTATTAGGAGAAATGTACTTCAGGTGATAAGTGGTGAACCCTGCTCCTTTTCACAGGGTTTTTCTCTTCTGGATTGTGGGCAAACATGTCCTTGAATAGATGCATATTATGTACGTAATTCAAGGGTATTGGTGGCAAGCAAAGAATAACAGAGGTGACTCCTCCAGGATCTTCTCTAAGATATCTCTTAATTGAAATGTACTCTAGGAGGCTAACTGATTTATTGGAATGACTTGAGTAGAAATAGAACCAACTGGAGCTTAAAAAATTCATTATAATATGATGAAGTTCTTTAAAAATCCAGCTTTCATTTGCTTTAGTCCACAAAAGCAATACCAACGGAATCACAAAATTGTCCTTAAGCACAGAGTTGCATTTTACAGCATGTTTAGAAAATAGACATTTAAATATTAATATATTATTTATATAAAGCTGTGAATTTGTGTGAATGTCTTCAAACAATTTTCTTTGGGTTTTATATCAGGTGCCTTTATTTTGCTGGACGGAGAGACCTTTGAAGTGAAAGGAAATTGGGAGAATGGGGAAAAGGTACCCCCCCTGGGTTATGACTTCTGGTATCAGCCACGACACAATGTCCTGATGAGCACCGAATGGGGAGCCCCAAAAGTCTTGGCAGATGGGTTTAAGCCAGCTGATGTAGAGAGAGGTGAGGGAGCATTTGTTTAAACTCTCAAAAGTAAAAGTGATTCTTCGTTAAACTAATATCTTCTGTACTTATTTTTGGCTGACCTGATCTATTAGGGCATTATGGCCGCCGCATTAACGTGTGGGACTGGAGCACTCACACCTACATTCAGGCAATTGACTTGGGGAAGGGCTCCATACCTTTGGAAATTCGATTCCTCCACAATCCGGATGCTGCAGAGGGGTTTGTTGGGTGTGCTCTGAGTAGTGCAGTGCATCGGCTCTACAAGACAGAGGTAAGTAATGAAAGCCATGGCAAACATAGAAGCTCAAACCTGGTTGTTTCAAAAATCCACCAATCACTTAGGAAATAGTAGAATTCTGATTAAAAAAATAGGGCTCCTAATTCCAATCTAATTCTAGCCAAGCTATAACATTGTGTCAGAGAGCAAACCTGCATGCGTACAAGCCAATGCCATGGCTTTCTGAAGCTACTCTGTAGTCCCTCATCTTTGAGCAATTGCGGTTGGTGGGCATTTTGGGTACCTCTGCAGCCGTGTTGCTGATGTCCAGCATGCAAGTCTTCAGCAGCCTGATCCTGAAAGGAGGCAAAGCTTAAGAGGTCGTAGCGCTGGTCTGTCAGCCCCACTTCCAGCTCCCCTGCCCTCCACAATAACTTGTTGATCATTTTAATCACAGCTAATGAATTGTGAGAGTCTCAAAGAGGGGAAGGTCTTGCCAATGATAGAACATTAGTGATGACTTGAACGTGAGTCAATCTAATGAACACTTGCACTAAGGAGATAGCTGCAGCATTAGCTCAACAGCTTTCTTTCTGGCCTGCAAGCTGGTCAACAAACATGTATCAGTTGGACAGCTAATCAGAACATGTGAAACTTGTCACCAGTGTCAATGTGTGCTGCCTGCTGCTCAGCCAGTATTTGGATGCATAGGGAAGACCTGAAGGTAGAGGAGGGAGGGAAAGTGATGGTGTCACGGACAAGGGAGTAGAGCTGTTGGCATTTTAGAGGGCAAGCTGGAGACAGACAGGACACCAAACTGTAGGAGATTAGCAGTCTTTAGTTCTGCTACTGTTGCAGCAGTCTGTCTGAGATGTTGTTGCATAGTTTAATCATTAACATTCTCACTGGCAGTGTAGTTACCATCCTCACCCCTTGGTAACACTTATTTGCAGTGTGCATATCACCTCCGTACAGGACCTGTTAAATAAATAGCACTATTTGCTTCTCCTCCCTCTGTCATGCATAGCTGAGCCCTCTTGGCTAACATCAAGGCAATAAATGCTGTGTTCTCTCCTGTACCTTCTGCAGAAAGGAGACTGGGCAGCGGAGAAGGTGATTGAAGTACCCAGCAAGAAGGTGCAAGGATGGCTTCTCCCTGACATGCCTGGTTAGTGTGAGCATGTTTGGAAAAGAAATGGGGTGTGTCCTCTTCAGTTCCCTGGTACAGTGTAGCTTTTTGCAAAATCTTATCCTTAAATGACAAACACTTGTAAAATACTAAATTTCTGTTTGGGTTCTTTGTGTAACACTTCTGATGTAACCAAATTAGCCTTGCTTATGAGCCACCAAGCAGGAGATTGTCAAACCTCTGCTCCCACACTGCCTAATGCTCGAGGTCAGTTTCTCTAGAAAAATACTTGGAGTTTGGGTCTTTCAGCACGAGCTCACAGTGTTCAGGAATGGTCCTGGGGATGCTGGTAGAGCCTGAACTGCCTTTGAGTAGGCACTGGGTTTCCAAGGGTGATTGTGTTTGTTCAACCCATATCTTAACCTGTTTTTCTGAGGCTACTATGAATAGAATTTTGAAAGATAATAGGCTTGTGGTCTTGTTTGTTGCTGGTCCTGTCCGTTTCCTGACTTTGCTACTGAATATTTTCTTGAAGGTCTTATTACTGATATCCTCATCTCGCTGGATGACAGGTTCCTGTATTTCAGCAACTGGCTGCATGGAGACATCCGCCAGTACGACATCTCCAACACCCGCAAGCCCAAGCTGGTGGGACAGGTAAGCCAGCATCAGAAAAGCTGTCGTGTACAAGGACAGTAGAGTCTTATTTCCTCTTTTTTAAAAGGAGAAAATGACAATTTACTTTTGCTTGAGAATTGTCACTATATTGCTTTCATGTTCGTTTGATAGCCGACGCCTGTTCTCACACATTCCCTTGGTTACAGGTGTTTCTGGGAGGCAGTATCACAAAAGGTGGGCCTGTAACTGTAGTGGAAGACAAGGAATTGCAGTGTCAGCCAGAGCCATTTGTGATCAAAGTAAGTTTTCCTAACATGCGCGTTGTCAGTGCTCTGCTAATTGTAATCCATTTTGAAATAGCGCTACACCTCAGACAAATGTACAACATATAAAGCCATACCTGAGCTAGTTTATATCTTGGCTTACAGCCTGGGCAGGTCTCACATTTCAGCATGGACTGGAGCTAGTAAATCCTGGTAAGTGTTCTGGGTCCCTGGTGGAATTGGACAAGCTGTTCAACTGTACTGAAACCTGTGTAATTACATCTTCCCTGCAGTTGTTAGCTAGCTAATTTAAAGCTAATGCAGTGTGCATTCATCACACTGCCATCATTGCTTCTGATAATCTTTCAACAGCTGATGGTTGAAGCACTAAACCAGCTCATTCTGCAGTGGGGTGTGTCCATGTGCATCTGTGTGTGTGTAAAGAGTTCGATGGCATCTGGCATCGTGATAGAAAAATGAAAGAGCATTAATTGTCTCTGGTCATTATCAATGTGCATTAATATTATCACTGTCAAGGCAGCTATCTATGGAAAGTCTCATGGGATGTGCAAGAACTGAATATGGTCATGGCTAAGATCTGTTAACTGAATATGGTCACGGCTAAGATCTGTTGGCCATTGAAGGCAGTCTGAGGAAGTTCCACATACTCCTTTTCTTCATAGTGCAGATTGTGACCGAGCTGCAGTATAGACAAGTTCTTATTCGCAACTGTGTTACGCGACCCATCTCTTGATTTTTGACACTTCCATCCAAGTACAGCAACCCGAACCCTTCAGCCCTTACTTTCTTACATTACTAGTTCTGTGAATTAAGTGGAACTCATCTGGATTGGCTTCGAGGCTCCCCGTTAATAAGGAGTAAGACTCCCAATAAAAACTGTTCTCGCTCCGAAACAGGGGATTTGGTGCTCTTGTGTCAAGGATTTCAGAGTGCTGGATGGTCCTCTGAGTAGCAGAACTGCCGTGCTGTTTTGTTTGTCCTTGCTGTTGCATTTCTTCTGTTCAACCTCCGTGGCAGCTTTCTTGAGCACCTTGTTCTCTATTATAATTTTAGGGGAAGAGGGTGCCAGGTGGACCTCAGATGATTCAGCTTAGCTTGGATGGGAAGAGATTGTATGTCAGCAGCTCTCTCTACAGTGCATGGGACAAGCAGTTCTACCCAGATCTTGTCAAGTAAGAAAACTTTGGTAAAAAAGGATGACTGTACAAGCCCATGTTCAAGATTTCTTTCTTAAATAGTGATATGCATATACCAGCTGGTATACTCCCCACACAGGGAGACTGAATCCAGTAACTTTTTGCACACAGCCTACCAACCTAGAGATGTTTCACCCACTAGCCAGAATCCACCCCTGCTCAACAGGCACACAAAAGTTGGGGTCTGTGCACACTATTTGTTGAAATCATGATCTATTTGGAAGTAGATGAGAATGGGAAGAAACCAGTGAACATGACCTAGCCTCCTGGAATCTGTAGTACTTCCGCACCGCCTTTGAGTGTATCAGCATGACTTTCTATTTTTTGGAATTAAAGAAAAGAGACGATGATCTTCCAGATGGCCACAGGAGGGCATAGTGCAGCTTGCCTATTCCTTCATAAGCAACAACAGCTATTAATTTTCAGTCATTCATTGCTAATTTGAGGTTGCAGGTTTCACTGAGGTGATGTAACTCACTTTTGAGACCTGCTAAGCCCCAGTTTAAATCTGGGTTTTTTTCCATTTTATATTAAATGAAGACAAATCCTGCCCAAATATGGAAGAGAAGAGCAACAAATATGAATCCTTTTCCCAATATCTGTTTTCTTGTCCCTTTTTCAGGGAAGGCTCTGTTATGCTGCAGATTGATGTGGATACTGAAAGAGGTGGATTGAAAGTGAATAAAAACTTCGTAGTGGATTTTGGGAAGGAACCTGATGGGCCTGTCCTAGCTCATGAGATTCGTTACCCTGGTGGAGACAGTACCTCTGATATCTGGATATAATTGTAGTATGGTGCTGTTTTCTTTTTTTGCTTTATGTCTTTTTTTCTCTTTCTCCCTCTCTCTCCTCCCTACCCTCCACTTCCCTTTTGTATAGGTGAATCGGTTCAGCTGGAACTTTGTCCGCTATCTAAATTTAGACTTCCATTAGGGTGAGCCACAGAAGCTCCACTTTCTTCTCATTCTGAGGCAGCCAAGTGAATCTCTGAAACATGATATACATCTCATTTTCTCCACTCCTTCCCCTTTCATAAGGTCCTGTGTAATCACTGTTGACTGTAGGTTTCAAGGCCGAGGTCACCAGTCTTTTCAGGACTGTTTGCGTTGTTCGGTGCCACTTTGTCTTGCCACTGTTTGCTGATGGAGAAGCTGTTCCTAAATAACTCCATAAGAAGGATACATTCCATGGGCTTGCCCCAGAGCAAGAGTGTCCTGTCCCTGCAAAGCTTAATTTGCTCATAAAGTAATCAATGCTTTACAGCAGACACAGCATAAAAATCATGCTTATCTAATATGAAGCCACATGTTTCCGGAGCTGGGTTATATTTTAACATTTGTGCATATGTGTTATAAAAAATCAACAATAAAATTGTTCTTCAAGTCAGGTGGAGCAGCACATTTTTTTTCTTTTTAGCATGTCAGCATTTTCTATTTCAAAGAACCTAAATGTAAGGTCATTTCTGAAAGTAACAGTGTCATTTGTCTAAAAATTCTTTGGTGAGGTATTTATTTTCGCTGAAGCCACCTTTGTTCCCATTATTGCAAGCAAAGATTCTCTTCCATTTTCTAAGACTGGAGAAAACTGCAAAAAACTTTTCTGCACACTGTGCCAAAGCCAGATGATGCTAGCAGCAGGTGTCTTACAGGTGTCTTTCAGGTGTCTCGCGACTTCTTGAACAGACAAGCACTCACAACTCCACCCTTTCTTCTCTTGCCAGTTCCTGATGCATCTTCCCGAAGCTCTTTCTTGGGTCTGATTCTCTTTTCTGCCTCTCTAGATCTGTTGCTTTCCCATCTGTGTCCATTGCCAGCCTCTGCCGTTTCCTGCCGAGCTTTAGCATTGCCAGTTGTAACGCTGGAATCACATCAGCAGCGTCGGAGGAGCAGTGTGTTAATGGGACTGCCCGCTGGAGCCTTTTGGCTGGGGTTTTTTCCAACTTTTACTGTGCTTCCACGGCAAAATCCTCATCTAGCTGACAGATCTTTATAATCAAGACTTCATTCTGTACACAGCTGCTTACTGTCTTGCCTAAAGTATTTGGAAGCAGGCTTTGAGAGTTCAGTTTTGTGTTTTTAACATAGGGCAGCTGGACTGCTGCCCCTCTTTGAAACCCGCAACAAGCAGTTCTGTTAGGACCTTGTAAAGCCAGAAAGCTTTCTAACTGACATGGCATTGTAGCCACCTGTGTCTGATGTAAAAGCCCATTTTCAGCAGCTTCTTGTTAGAAATGGGTGGTGTTTAAACCATCTTGCTGCAAGGACCCATTGTTTGCCTTGCGAAGGGACTGGTTTCAAGAATGGAGTATACACTGCTAATCCGTGTAAATGCTGCTAATAGTCCATGCTGAGTGGGTGCAGTGAGTGCTCAGTGTCTAAATAATCTCATGTTGTCCAGGAAAGTCATTGATTTGTTAGGAAGTCATTTGCTACTAACCAATACTACTGGAGCCTGTATTTTTTTCACACCTATTTCCCATACAACTGAGCGTTTTAAATTGGAAAAGGTGCATGATCTTCCACTTGGCCACGTGAGGGCAGACTGCAGCCTGTCTTCATGCAGTACAGAAGTACATCTAGGAGTTTCTCTCACTCTACTAGCAATCTTAGGTTGTGATTTTCCACAGATCACAAACTTGCTAGTGAGGGTGGCCCTCAGGTCTCTTCTCAGTCCATCAGCGTATTGCAAGGTGACTGAGGTTTCTCATTCCAGCTACAGTGAGCGCTCCAGTCTGGGTCCCATCCTGAAATCCCAGTTGGAAATGCCCCTGCATACAAGCGTGTACAACTACTGAAGTGTGGATTGCTTCTATTCCTCGTAAAAGGCAAATATTAAATGTAAAAAGGTGCTTAGAGAAGGAAGAGAAAAGCAAAGCGTGGGACTCTCTTGAATTAAAATATTTCATTTTTCTGAACACCTGCTAATCTGGGTACTGAAAAAGGTAAGCTGTGAGTAGAGAGTTTCTCCTGATTCTGAGAGGAAACCAATGGGTCTTGCCATGCTTATGGAATCCATGTCCGTAGTAGAGATTCTGCTTTTAGTATGTGTTCCTGTCTGGGTCTACCTTATTGCAGGATGAGCTTTACCATGGACTCACCTGACTGTATTGACAACACCTTCATTGGCTTCATTGGAAGTTTCTGAGGGGATGCTGTCATGGTAAATACCCACAGTCAGTCAGAGGCCATTGGAAATGGACCCCAGAATTTCAGACATTAGTCAAATGCCTGCTTTTTGGAGAATCTCTGAAGGTGGTATGAAACCTTACCCTCATGACTGACCATGGTCTCTCTCATGCTTGTCAAAGTGGAAGAAACACATGCAGTGAAACAAAATAAGTTGGCGAATGCAGAGCAGGTCCAGATATCTGGTGGGTCAAAAAAAGATACTCACATATTCATTCAGTAGTAGTGTAGAGGTTTCACCCACTAGCCAAAATCCATCCTTACTCACAAGCACACAAAGCTCTGGGTCTGCACATACTATTTGATACTGTTTGTTGAAATCATGATCTACTGGGAAGTAGGTAAGAATGTGAAGAAGCCAGTGAACGTGACCTAACCTTCTGCAATCCATGGTACTTCCAAACTGCCTCCGAGTGCATCAGCATGACTTCAATTTTCGGAACTAAGTAGATGATATTCCAGATGGCCACAGGAGGGCATAGTGCAGCTTGCTTATTCCTTCATAAGTAACTCTTTCCTAGTTTTCACTCATTCATTATTAATTTGAGGTTGCATTTTCATTTATATTTCGGCTGCCAGGTCATATCCAGGACAAGTAGATGTGTTTATACCAGAAAGAGAGTCTATTTGTAGTATTTTCAACAAGTGGGGGAGGACAGCAAGATATATTATATCCCCGTTATTAGCTGGGAAAGTTATAGAATGGAGAACAGTTTCTGCTTAAGTGAAGCCGGAGCAGTTGTGATGAGAGTCACCATTAAAAAAAAACGTATTTTTTGGTCTGCTACCTTGAGCTCTCTACTTCTCTGATGAAGACTGACCACCTATTTTTAGGAGTAAGAGTGTAAGGAAGTGCCTTGTTACATACAGAGAAGTGTAAATGAGTCCTTGGAGTGGAACCTGAAATGTTTAGTTAAACTGCTCAGCATATGCATATGCTGCTCAGCATATGCATTCCTGCAATTTCCTTCTCCATCAGTGGAGAAAAGTCAGCCGTTCTTGTTTTCATTTGTTACAAGCTTGGAGTCTGATTTGCAGTGCTCGTAGGGACTTTTAAGGAAAAGTGCTAGTGCCTGTCTTCAGGCAGAGGCATGGAAGAGGAGAAGAAGCAGGTCCTGCTCGTCCGTCCTCCCCAGCTGCGTGGTGCTGCCACTCCTCTTGTGCCAGATGGAGCGATCGTGCGGTTGTGGGAGGAGTCGGTTGAAGGAGCTGATCCGGCAGAAAACTGCGCTGCCAAAAAAGTGGCTCACCGTCCGTCTCCCTGTGGCTGCACATGGCAGGGCCCTTCAGTGGCAGCCCGGAGTCACGTCTCATTACATGGTGCCTGAAATCACAACCTAAGGATGTGGGTTTCGGATGGGTTTGTCCGGTCGTAGCTGTGGGCTGTAGTGGGGAGGGGCGATCCCACTGCTGCCGTGCTTCTGGCCAGACCTTTCTGCCCCCTCCCCTGTGACTCCTGCTCCAACAGCAAACCGCTCCCTTGGAGGGGAAGGGGAGGCTGAAACAGTAGTGGAAAAAAGGCAGAGAGGTGCCTTGAGGGAGAAGAAGTGTAGCTGTGCTACGCTGATGATCCCTCCAGCAAACCTTGTAGCCTGTACATGGTACTGTTGCTGAAGTGATGTGCCGAAGGGCACCGCGTGTACCAGGTGTGAGTCCTGTAGCCCTGGGACATTTGGTTTGTCCCTGCTCAGTGAGGTGATCAAGAGAGCCAGGGTGGTGGATCCGAGCTTTGCGTAGTCTGCCTGCTTCTAACAACATTTGCCTTTTGTCTTAAATGTGCCCCCGCCCTTCTGGCTGTTTGCATTACCACTTGTCCCAAAGTCTTGAGCACTCTGTCTTTCTGTCTCACGTGCCTCCGGTGGGCTCTTCTCCTCTGCCGCCCCCAGAGCCGTTTGTGTCTTGCCACCGCCAGTGTGCAGTGAGCTGTGCCACCTGCCGTCAACT